CTCCAGATCCTCAGCCTCAATTAATAACTTGTTAATGTGAAACGAATTACCATCAAAAGAAAGATGGAACCCTGGAGTACTTTGAGAGAAAATAAAGTGATTTTAAACTTCGCATCTCCCTTATATGCTTAGAGGGACTTTCAAAAGTCCCTCTAAGGGGACTTTTGGGGAAAGTGGGGAAAACTCCCTGTGGGGTCACATACAGGGCAGATGTTGCTAGGTGTGCACATATGAAAAACTGGAGGCAGGGGCAGTGTTACTTGACCAGTTAATCAGTGATATTCATTCAGGAACAGAGATGAAATTATTATTAGCCTTTGTCAGTGTGTGTAAAAATAAACATCAGAAATGATGACATAAAATACTGTAATTAGATTGTAAATCTGTATAGTTATTAAAAATGTCCATGGAACATTTGGGAGTAGTTGGTTGCTTTGATTGAAAGATTTACTCAAAGTGAGTAGAAATGGCTCCAAGTGTGACCACTGGCCCAGGACTGCTCACACTCTTGGTGAGATGCTTCACAGGCCACGCTAAGCCAGCAAGCCTGCTTTCATGGTCTCGTGACCAAGTCAGTGGACCACTGGTTTGCCTCAAGTTTAAAACATGTGTCTTTATACATTTACATTTAAAGGCAAGTACCTGTTTGTGGATCTCCAAACTGTATATTTAGGACGGAAATAATATTTCTTACTCTTCATAACTTTTTTGTTCAACAAATACATTTCTGTATCATCACAAAAAATGCTTCTGTTTCCTTATGTCACAGTAGTTGGTCTTTTATTATTTGATTTTCAGAAAAATTTTAACTGAAATTCAAATAAAGTAAATGAGTATATATAAAAAAGAGATTTACTCTCTTGAGAAAAAATGAGAAATGTTTCACTTCTGAAATGAAAATCTTCCTATGCATATTTTTGGAAGATTTGGTGACTCACAGTCACCAAAGATCAGGAACCAGGCAGACAGGTAATTGAGTGAGGTGGGGGGGCGGGAGGGCAGGTGTGTGTTCCGGCTTCTGCCACGTGGATTCAGATAACACAGATCAGAGATGTAGTCAGCTGCTTGTTTCCCGGCACAAACACAGGCCTGTGGCTGCCGCATATTCTCATTTTTCAAGTGATGCCAGAAACTGTGGATTTTTAGATGAAATCTCCCAAGTTAATTCTACTTTAGAAAAGAAATCATTGTCCACTAAGCAAAAACGCGTCCATGAGCTCAGCCCAGACTCCAGGCCACAAACCTGTGGATCTGTTTTAAAATTTTGCTTTGATAGCTGTGTGTCCATATATACACATTCATTGGGCCAGAATTCAGTCGTGTTGTTTCTGGTTAGTCCAACAATTAGGAATTGGGTGTGGTTGGGATAAGGAGACCCTCACGAGCTGGAGGGCTCTGAGTTTCAGCTTTCTAAAGGATTCTATACAGCTGTTTTGGGTCGTGTGCAGATTCTGCGATCAGACAGCAGGAGCACACCCTCTTGCCAGAAGGTTCTTCACCCCAGAGGTCCCAGTTTGGTTGCTTGGGGACCTCCTCAGGAGCCAAACCCCAGAGCTGCTCTGCCACCAACTTAATGTATTGGACTTGGGCTTAAAATTTCATTTGCCGACCAGCCAGAAGTTTGAAAACCAGTGGACCAGCCTCAGACACGTGATCAGCACTGTTGCGTAGTTTTACAGGTGTGTGTCCATTTTTAGGAGTATTCTCGTTCCCGTATCTGTAGTGGATGTTTGGCCTTGAGATGAAGAAACTGTGAACCTAAGATGAGTTCTTTATCGGATCTGTCTCCATGTGGACATTTCCTGTGTTCCTCATCCAAAGTTCAGATGGACCTGGCTGTCCTGTGTGCGCATGGATATTGGTGGCTGGAGTTTTGCTTCGAGTAGTCACTGACAGACACACTAAGATAATTCTCTGTGCCTTTAAAGGAAGTACATTGGGAGGCTTTTAGACTCGTCGTCCTTGGGGAGCCACGCTCCAGAGGGAACAGACGAGGAAGGCGGCAGAGGGGACTTGAGTGTCATGCCGGCATCTTCAGCCCAAAGATAGATGGACAGACTGAATTTATGTTTGGTTTTTCAGGTGTTTTGGCCTTGTGTGCCAAAAGCTGGTATACAGTGAGGTTTTGTGAACAGATTCCACACTTGATAATGACTCGTCAGGGGTACGAATGGGCGCCGGGGGGAGGAAAGAATCATCCCCTTGACATTTTCACCAAACGGCAGGTGTTCTGTGGGCAGTACGGGCTTGGGGGGCCTGGCTTAGCGGTGGGGTCATCGCTTGCACGTATCTTCTCACTGTTCTTTTCCCCCATTCTCTTTCTGTCTTTTCCTCTCACTCACCGTAAAAATGTTAGCAGTGTCGTGTCTGCTAGGAATTCGCGCCATGAAAGCAGGAAAGGGCCTTGGAGCCCCAGGAGGAGTTACGGGGAGGAACCTCATCCCGAATGCAGCTCTGAATGGTGGGTGTGCAGGATCAGCATCCCCACAGGGAAGAGAAGGCCCAGGCCCACACCCTTTAGTTCAGGAGAGTTTTTTTGCATAGGGATAGAGGCGTGGATAGAGAGAAGCTGGGGGATAGTGCAGGCGCCAGGGCTGGCAGATGTGGCACTGGGACCACCATGGGCCCAAAGGGGCAAGGAGAAGAGGGGGTTACCCCAGCAAGCCTCTGCCAGAGGGATAGCCAGCCCAAGGCTACTGCTCGGTGAGGGAGCCCGGGAATAAACGCCTCCGTTTCATGCTCCTCCCTCCTCGTACTCCTGTTGTGCTCCCCTCTGGTTGAACCCAGCAGGAGCCCAAGATGCTGGAGCTGATGGGTGCAGCCCAAATGGGTGCCCTCCTAAGAGGGGAGCAGGGCAGAGAAAGAGTGTGGCAGGAAGGTGGCGGGCAGACACAGGTCTGAGCACAGGCTGCAGGAGGAGCCCCGTGCTTTGCTGCCTGATGGGAGCACCAGCTCCTCAGAGATGTGGCCACACTATGGGCTCTGATTGCCCTATTGTGATAGAGATTTGGCCGTGGAGAAGCACACCCAGAGGATGGCTACAGAGTGCCCTAAATGATGGCACGTGGAGAATACCAGGAGGAGCGTGTGGTGTGTCCCTAAGTGCCACCTCACTGACCCTAGGCTGCCCCTCTGTATCTGAGATGCCACACGCCTGTCCCTCCTCCCTAGGCTGCCGTGAGGGTCTGCACTGGAGGGGGCTTGGGAGCACTAGCTGAGGCCGTCACTCATGATGTGTGCGTTTCAAGGGTTCTAGAGCATGCCTAAGTCTTAAACTCAGAGCATCAGAGCTGGGAGGGAGACAGGATAACTGGCTCGAGACTCTGCAGTAGACAGAGGAGCCAACAGTCCTTGCGCATCCCTCAAGCACCTTTGATATTAGTGGTCTGTGGTGGCAGAGAACTTTGGTTATGGTTTTCGGGTCATGCTAGTAGTTATTTTCAGGCTTAAGTGTTTGTGTTGTCATCAGTCTGAGCTCTCCAGCAGGTCCACTCAGACTTTCACGTGTGCACGGATCACTTGGGGATCTTATTAAAAAGCAGGTGCCAGGGTGGGCCTGGGAGTCTGCATTTCTCACGTGCTCCCGGGTGATGCTGCTGCTGTGGGTGTGAGAAGCACAGTTAGGAAGATCTGTGGTCTTCTCATTCTTCGCTTCTTAGGTGTTACTTTTGACTTTTTTCTGGAATTGGGTAGACCTGCCTAGGAGTAGCTTCCCTTAGACGTTCAAAATGTGTGCAGTTCCCACACCAGCATAAATTGGCATCATTTTTTAAGATAGAAATGTATTTTTAAAAACAAAATCCTTCATCTTCATTCATCGTTTGTTTGCTGTCTTGCTCACACGCGTTTCAGTAGATTTTGTAACTTTCTGGGGCTCCATGCGATTACAGGGGGCTCCGTGGTTCGCAGGGGAGCCCTGGTTCCCACCTCCGGCTTCTCCCCAGACTTGCCGGAGTGCTTTGGGAAATACATATTCTCTCGAGCCCCACCCTAGACCTTCTGAATCAAAACTGGAATTTTTTGAAGCCTCTGTTTTTAAAAATCTCCACAGGTAATTCTGGTAATTGGCCAGATTTGGGAACTGCTAATACAGTCTGTCTTTAAAATCTTGTCCTACGAAAACCTTCTATTAAAACAATTTAGAACTTAATTGGTTCTAAACTAAAACAATCAGAGGAAAGTTATAAACAAGAAACCTAATACCTTTGGAGATCTGCACGTAGCGCTAACCAACTCACCCACTAGCTGCAAAGGATGATTGGCTGAGCTTTAGAGAAAGGCACTTAATTATGTTTTTGAGTCTAAAATTGGTGTGACCAGACAATGATTCATTTTGATGTTGAGCAGCTGATTCAAATCATTAAGTATACAGTGGAATCATTTTTCATCGCAGTCCGCGTGCACCATGAAGTTGCTAAGGTTATTTTTCCCCTGCGTAGTCTTTTCAAGGTTAAGAGTAAAGTTACCTGGTTTAAGAGTCTGTGTTTCCACCAATGTTGCGTCTGGGAACTTTGATTTGTGTTGATCATAAAGTATAGCTTCACCGTGAAAATCATCCTCTGGCACCAGACAGTGGACTCCCAACTGGTGATCATTTTCACGTCCGTTGATGGGCTGACCCAGCGGGGCTCCCGTAGGGCCCATCTTGCTGGCCGGCCAGGAATGTTGCTTTTCCCAAAAGTGAATCTTTTGTCTTCACTTCTGCTCGAGCTGGAGATTGTGGTTGTGTCGCCGGTCTCTGTTTAGAATTGCTTTATGTGACTCATCTGAAGCATTAGTTTCCTTCACAGTGTTTTATCAAGACCCTAAGATTCGTGCCAGCCTTTTTTTCCTCTAGAATATTGTTTTGTACGATGCTTCCATTTTCCACATAGGCGGGACGACAGCTGCTCTTGGTGCTAAGGTCCTCCTGCGCAGGCGTGTAGGCCCCTTAGGTTAACTCGTGTTGGCTTCAGGGTCTGCAGTGTGCGGTGGTGTTCACCTGACTTGTTTATTCCTAGGGAATGTCTCTAGTGCGTCTGGGTCTCAGATGGCAAGCGGCATCAGCCTGGTGTCCTTCAGCAGCCGGCCGGACGGCATGCAGCAACGCTCCTACTCTGTCTCCAGTGCCGACCAGTGGAGTGAGGCTACGGTCATTGCAAACTCGGCCATCAGCAGTGGTAAGAGAGGGCGCGGCCCCATGGACCCGCAGCCACCTCACGGTCCTCGGTTGTCAGCCAAGGACTGGATATGATGTCCCCGAGCTCTCCGCGCTCCACTCTGCCCTTGGGGCAGCCATGTCAACGGTGCGCGTCTCGCCTTGCATCTGTGGAGCATTCTGTCCTTGATAGGCTATCTCACCCACGTCATGTCATTTGTTCCTCTTGGTGCAGGGAGTAGATGTTCATCCCTGCTTGCCAGATTTGGAAACAGGCGACAGACAGGGCAGCTGGCTTGCACAGGGTCACAGGACAGGGAGGCAGCGGAGCTGAGAAATAACGGCAGATTCGTGCCCAGGATCACGCTTCCTTACACGATGTGGCCTACGCTTCCACCATTCGTGCTCATTTTATATTGTCAGGGTTTGGGATTTTTTTTAACGAAGGAAAACATATAATTCATTCTCCTTATTAGTTTTCCGAGATTCCTCGTACAGCCTCTAAATTTTGCAGAATCTCCACCCCAGTTTTTTTTAAGTGTCTGCAGCTTCTTGGGAAACACATGTGCCCACTGGAAACTCTCTTGACGTGTGTGTGAAACTGTGAATTATGCAACATTGAGGCTACACTGGCTTGCTGCAACGTGCTTTGCCTGTGGCATTTTGTCTATGGCCTGTTCACCGGTATTTAAAGGAATTCCCACTGTTGTATGTCATCTATCAGACAGGGTTTTGGAGTAATTTTAGCATAATTTGTTCTAATTAAGAGATTCAGCATCAGGTCTTCCCTGTAGACCCACCAGCTGCTGCGGCAGGCGGTTTGCTTGGGGTAAACCATCATCCTTATTTCTAGTTACTCCACGCTCCTCCGCGGACACTGCCCAGCAGAGGCCTTAAAGAAAGACATCTCCAAACCAAGTGAGGAAGGAAGTTGAGTCCGGAAAGGCAGTTCCAGAGTTCTGGGAAAGCTTGTGGCTCGGAGCGCTCAAATAGAGCATCGCCCAGGTGCCCAGCACGCCCCCAGCTCCAGGGCTCCTTCCTTATTCAAAAGAAGACGCTTCCGTAGATAGCAAACATCTGCCTTCAGCCTCTTCAGGGACTCTTCAAGGCTTTCTGCCTTTCATTTGAAATCATGCCAGTACCTTGAGAACCCCAGTGAAGGAGGTTCCACATCATATAAATTAACCACCTATAGCTTATTCCCTTGCAATGCGACATCCGTGCATTCCTAGCCATCACATGCCTAAGAAGGCATGGTGATGGGCCTTCTGGGCAGACCCATCTGTGCTTCCGTCAGAGCCCCTTATCTGCCAACCAGGCAGCCTGTGGCAGGCAACCTGACCTCCGTGAGCCTCTGTGTTCTCATCTGATAAATGGATGTTCTTCCCTGCCTTGCGTAGTCGCTAAGTGTGTATTGCAACATTTGGTCCATGGCTTCCGTGACAGAGTATCTGCTATAGTTATCAGAGTTACTTTCTGTAGGAGGAACAAGCCGTTCATATATTTAATTATTGCATCATCAGATACTTTGAAATACGTTGATTTTTCAATTAGCGTTAGTATTGCTATCCAGTTGGGTTTACTGGGTTGCCGCCTGTCTGTGAAAGTGTGCTCCCATGGGTGAGGGTGGGAGGAGCTCCATGCTGGGCCTTCCCAAAGCCTGGTGGACACACCACCTCAGCCCCACCTTGTCGGTGCAGCGACCTTCGAAAGCCGTCCTCCTTAGAGTGAGTATGGTTGAGTCACCAGCACAGCCCGATGAGAGCAACAGTTTTTAGGTTCTGTTCTTTATGTACCCTGGGAGTTATATTTGGGGAGAAGGAAGTTCCTGAACGAGACCATCACCTCACTCTTTACCTCTCCTATGCTCAGAATATTTTTACAGAAAAGGCATTGGAAGCCGCATATTAATCTAAAATCCATTTTATACAAATATTCTTTCTGCACAGTGATCTCTTTCATAAAAACTCACTAGCTGGGCCGGCTCCGTGGCTTAGCGGTTAAGTGCGCGCGCTCTGATGCTGGCGGCCCGGGTTCGGATCCTGGGCAAGCCCCAAGGCGCCACTTCTCCGTCCAACGTGAGGCCGAGTCCCACGTGCAGCAACTAGAAGGATGTGAACCTATGACATACAACTATCTACTGGGGCTTTGGGGGGAAAAATGAATAAATAAAATCTTTAAAAAAAAAAAAAAAAAAAAACTCACTAGCTAACTTTCCCTCTACCTAACAGCTCTTTGCATCTGATTTTGCATGTAAGGGACAGGCGTTTCTATGCCACCAAATCCTGAGACTGTTATTCCCAGACCCTGGTTTGCATTGGTCTCTACGTGCAGATTTATGAGGTACCCATAAGAGACTGAGGTCTCCTATGTATGAATGCTGTTTTTAAATTCGCAAAGAGATTTCTCATACACTAACACCCTTGGCTGTCCATTCTTCATTCACATAGTGTGTTTGTTAAAGATGAGTTAGGTTCCCTAGCATCACAGTGCTTGAACTCTGAACACAGGAGATCAGAAACACCAGTCTGTGTCCCGGTATCAGCCTGCTGGGGGATGTGGATGGAGAACTTTAGAGGAAGCCCGGGCTGAAATTGTGCAGGTAGTTTAAGGATTGGTAGAGTTCATCAAGGAAAACTTCCCAAAGAGAATCAAACTTGAGCTGTGCTTAAAGAACCAGATGGGGTTTTTTGTGTGCAAAACCGCAGGAGGAAGTTTTTATAAGCATTGAGGCAATTTGGACAGAGACTCGCAGAGAAGGAAAAGGGAAAATGGAACAGCTAAGGAGCTACAGCGAAACGGAAGGTGTGAGTCGGAGTGCAGCAAAATGAGGAGAGACAAGAGAAGAGAGATGAGTATGAAGAGGTCAAAATTGCAAAGTTAATTAGCATCTTGTTCTAAGACTTACAGGTGCCTTTTTAAATAGCAAAGATCTAGAAAGACAATAGAATGTTGTACAGAAGTATGATTCCTATGGTTTCACAGGGATCATCCTTCATGCCTGTATTTTCTAAGGATTGATGATATGTCACACCCAGGATACCGTTGAAAAGGGAAATGAGTCATAATAATAATAAGAGCTAATATTTATTGAAAGCTTCCTGTGGATTATCTCATTGGATCCTCAGGGAGTAGACGCTGTTGTTAGCTCCCTGGTGGAGGGACTAAAGATCCCTTGTCCAAAGTCACATCCTGGTGAGCCAGCCCTGATGGTCTAGTGGTTAAAGTTCAGCACACTCCACTTCAGTGGCCCACACTTGGTTCCTGGGCACGGAACCACACCACTTGTCTGTCAGTAGCCGTGCTGTGGCGGTGGCTCACATAGAAGAACTAGGAGCACTTATAACTAGAATATACAACTATGTGCTGGGGCTTTGGGGAGGGAAAAAAAAAAGAGGAAGATTGGCAACAGATGTTAGCTCAGGGCAACTCCTTCCCAGCAGAAGAAAAAAAAACAAGAAAACAAAGTCACATCCTGGTAAAGGCTGGGATGCAAACTCAGGTGGCCTGATTCCAGGCCTTGGCTTCACATTGGTGCTTCTCAAGATGTGATTCCCAGATCAGCAGCAGCAGCATTTCCTGAGAACTGGTTAGAAGTGCGGATTCTTAGGTCCCATCCCAGACCTAGTGAATCTAAAACTCAGGGGTGGGGCCCAGCAATCTGTGTGTTAACGAGCTCTCCATGCAGGTATGCTGCATGCTGAAATTTGAGAACCACTGCTCTAAATCCTTGCTTCTCAAAGTGTGGTCCACGGACCAAGTGGCATCTGACAGCTCTGGGGAGTCAGCTAGAAATGCAGAGTCCCAGGCTCCACCAAGACTCGCTGGATGGGAGCAGCATGTTACCAAGATCCCTGGGTGATTGGCGTGCACCTGGGAGTTGAGAAGCCCTGCCTACAGTGAGGGCAACATCCTGGCTTCCTTCTGCGTAGCACCATCGCTGCCTTTCATGATTTATCAAGTGGCCAGACCCAAAGCAATTTTTAATGAACGTCAGAGCACAGGATCTGATGGGCGACTTAAGAAAACGCGTTATGAATGGATTTCAAGACGTCAACTTGGGCATGAGCATTCCCTGCTGTGCTTGGAAAACAAAGAAGAAACAAACACGATTAAGAGTCGTCTGTCATGCTTTTCCTCTTTAAACTGCAGTTGGTTCAAACCCCACCCTCTTTTTTTTTTTAATGATCATTTTATCTTTTTCCCCCCGAGAGTCTCTGGTTTGGATGTCAGAGTCATAAAAAGCTTACACTGTGCAAGCAGCAGGGACAGGAAGCTAAGCAGCCTTTGAATCCAAATGCTCGTGCGTTGGTGAATATGCCTTCCTATTCTCACGCACTGTTATTGTAAAACATTATAATAATAACAACATTGGGATTCAAATCTCTCTCTGCCCCCTTGTCCACACTAAATTAAGACTTTGGCTCCGGAGAACTTTTCAAAGTCTTCCCCTCTAGACGTGCAGGTACCCTGGGGCGTTCTGTCTTTTAAGCAGCTGTGAGCAACTCCTAATTAGATAGATTACTTTGTGGCGTGCAAAACCACAAAACAGGAGGTTCTGGTTAAATTAAGGAGGGAAGACAAGAAGAATCCATTCTGTGAAATGGAATGCCCTACTGCTTTATGACTATTACTGTTGTAAGGTTTTACATTTAAGTACCTGAGGTTTAAAATTAAATGTCTAATATAATTTGGCGTTGCTAACATGAGACCCGCATCTGCCCTTAGAGAAAATCCAGACAGCTCCGTTCAAGGCTTCAAATTGCCGTCTGCTGGCTTGCCAGCAGCACGGAGGATTGGGTCCCTCTTCGACGAAGCACCACATGCTGCTCGGTGTAATTTTTTAAATGCAGAAACATATTCATCTTGAGCTTCTGCATTGAAAAAGGCTGTTCCCAGAGTACATGAAAAATTAATTTCTTTACATTTTTTTCTCACTCTCCTAAGTGTTTGACAGAAGTAATTTTTGCAGCAAGAGAGAATAAAAACTGGTGGCTGTAAATTCCTGTCCTGGAACCTCTT